TAGGGATGCACCGAATGTTCGGCAACCGAAATTATTTGGCCGAAAATAGCAAAAAAGCTCTGAATAAAAAATTATTCGGCCGAATAAGCGAAAAGACCGAATAAATTGTATCGAACAATGATGTGACGCGATCAAATAGAGGTGCGCGCTAATGCAGCAAACATGACGGCAGTGTGGAAACAGCTGTCCGAGAAAGACAGCGAGAGACTGTTTAGCACTGCATCACATGTCTTCGATGAGAAGAGGAAGGGCGGTTGTTGCTGGTTACTGTATGATGATTGAAATCGCGAAATGCCCTTAAACAATTCAATAAACTGCAGAATGTTGTTTTCTAATACACGCAGGAATTCAACACAGCATGTGTTCAAACAGCGCTGCACGAGCTCGCGGCGGTAGAGTTCAAAGTCCAAAGCGCGAGGGAAATCTGCGCTGAAACTGTTACTCGTCAGCTGCTCAGTAACATTTTTATAAATTTTTACAAGGCGTGTGACAATGCGATACGTGCAACAAACGTCAAACGTGCAAGGCTGCATTTATTTGTAAGGCAAAAATACATGCCTGATTCAAGAAGGGGGTTTTAAAAAATGGCCAAAAATATTATTTTACTAACTGATTAATTTTAAGTTAAGTTGTGTTTTATTGGTATAATGTCTGCTAGAATGCTAAAAAAATGTTCAGGGTTAAGTAAATATTTTTAAATTGTTGTTTTGTAAATGATTTTTTTCTTTGAAAAGCAAGACAAAACAGTAAAAATCACATTTAATTTATGCAATGGTGAAAAAATTGGCAAAATGGGGGAAAAACCGTGAAAAACCGTGTTCGGTATTCGGCCTTCGGCCCAGTGTTTCATTTTGTTCGGCTTCGGCCAAGAATTTTCATTTCGGTGCATCCCTAACACGCAGTAGTACCAACACAGATATACACACACAGGGGAGGCAGGTATATGAGGAGAGAGTGTGTGTGTCGTTTGCACCTTGTGTCCCAGTAGAACAGCAAGTAAGAGGTGCAGGAGGTTGTATTCTGCTGCAGGGACAGAGGCTGTCGCTCTCATCAGCGTCACGCTCGTCTGACGGCTGGGAATAAACTCCTCCAGCGCTGACACCTGCTCCGGCAGCACAGACACACACTCCTCCACAACATATGACACAGAGACAGACAGACAGACAGACAGACGCTGCAGGTCTAACGGACCGACCGCGATCCTCTTCACCGACGTCTCCTGCACCAGCAGCGGCTCGTCTTTACGCAGCGCAGGAAAATCCTGCAGCCCCACGCAAACCGGAAAACAGCAGCACAAAACAACCACTGACAGACGATTGCTGCAGTCTGGGGCGCTCCTGTTCCACTGCTGTGTCTCAGGACGGGATTATGGGTTGTTTGGGTGATTATGGGGCCTAAAGGAAGCAGAAGATCAGGACCCTCGACTCACACAGCGTGAGCTGACCGCTAGAGACCCCCAACACACACACAGCGAATACTGACGCAACACACACACTCTCTCTCACACACACTCTCTCACACACACACACACTCTTA